CATTTGGCTAACGACATGTTGGATTAATTTAGCTTCTGGTTTGACGTTCAAAAAAAAACATTTTTGTCCACCAATTTTAAAGTTAAATGTTCATATTGATAATTAATTAAATTTTAACAATTAAAATTTAATTTACATATTCATAAACAGAATTAACTTCTCTATAAAGTTAAAAAAACCAAATTAAAATTTAATTAAAAATTGGTATCATAATTAAGTGAATAAAATGATTATGTTAGAATCGAAAAAGTCATTTTTAATTTGCAATTCAATTTGGGACGGAGGAAGTAATATGTAATTAAATACGCTTATATTATATGGGTCATGCCTAAACAAATGTCAAATGTTGGAACTTGGAAGGTAATTAGTTACGTTTTTTTGCTTTCTTCTCATATACTCGTATCATATACTATCGATGAGTCATGGATGAGTCATGGACTCATGGATGAGTTCATATTTTTGGGGTAATTATTACATTGGTTTTCTGCGAGAGTTCACTTTTGACGAAGAGAACTTTTGTCCTTGAAATCCTCTCTTGGCATTCACTTTTTGTAGTTTAAAATCTCGACCGATGGCTCCCAAACTGTTAAATTTGTTTAGTCTTCGATCACCTCTAGCTGTTTGGTGGTGCTTGCATTTTTTCAGGTGCTATTCGATCATCACTCTACTTTGGTTATGCTTATATAGATTGAATACTAAATTTGTGTGTACCTCAGTTTTTATGTTTCTATCTAGTTCTGAATTGATGGAATTTGGACTAATAATTCGAAAATGTCATACGTTTCTACTTCTCATGTTGTTCTTAGAGCATCTCCAATGCTACAATGTGCACGGTGCACATGTGGCATGTGAGATAGTCACACAAATATTAGTAAATAAATTATTTCTCTCCTTATTGAAATGATTTAATATAATTTTGGTAAGTTATTCTCTGCAATGTCAAGGAGACCGTATAGATGTAAACATTGCGGTTGACATTGTTAAGAAAAAACTTACCAAAATTGTATAAATTCATTCAAGTAAGAAAAGTGATAATTTATTTAATTATATTCATGTGGTTATATCTCATGTCACATGTGCACCGTGCACATCGTAGCATTGGAGATACTCTTAGTCAGGATCGGCCCACTCCAAGTGTGGACTGTGCTATGGCACAGGCCCAGAAAAAAAATGAAGGCCCAAAAAAAATTGCTGTAATAATACTATTATTATATCCCAAAAAACTTATTGTACTAAACAAAATGGCACAGGGACGTCAGTCAGCATTGATTGCTTTATGAAATACATTGACAGCAAGTTGGGTGAGAATTTGTTGACAAACAACAAAAATTGGGTTTTGCGCATGATTAATTAAAACACAGGGGGGTTTGACGCATTTTTTAAATCACAGGGGGCTAATGCGCCGAATTTCCAAATCATAGGGGACTTTGATGCTCTCCACGCTCGACATGCTTTTGTTTCTTAATTAAATGAGTTCGGTCTTTCATTATCTCTGGTTGGTCGAGTTATTTTCCGGGGAGGGGTGTTTTTCAAACTTACGAAGTATTTCCCAAACTAGGGTACTTCTAAACTTATTTCCCAAAGTAGGGTATTTTTCGCCATGTCATCTCATTACCATCGCAGGTCGCCACATCAGTTTATTCACGTCATCCAAGCAATTCCATGTCATCCAACTTTAAGAATTGAATTGTGTTTCTAAAAGAATAACAAAAGGTTGGCAACAAGATTCGAAACTCGGCGTGGCACAAAGAGGAAGAGCTACTCAACCACTACACTAATCAGTTCTCTTAGACATTTGATGTTTTGCCATATACTTAAACCATATGTACTTCTTTCCCAAACAATTAAAAAAAATTAATAAAAACCAATGTTCTAAAAGGCGCTAGACACTAGTCGGGCGCCAGCCCAACGCCTAGCGCCTAGGCGGCTAGGCGGGCGCCTAGTCGGGGACTAGTCGTAGATATAGAAATTGCATTTTATCTATATTTTTGCATAAATATGATAAGTAATATTGTATACTTGTGTGGAATTATCACATCTAATCATACATAGTATATGATAACTAATCACTTGACATTATTATGTTTTAAATATAAATAATAATAAATTTTAGGTACATATATATACAACAATATATAGTATTTATCTTAATATATGCAACTTCATTTCTTTATCTCTGGGACTAAAGTTAAAGTACTTATATCGCTTAGAAAATTAAAATTATAAAGTAAAGTAATGTACGGTGAAACTAGACGACCTAGGTGGCCGATTATGCGCTCTGGGCGGGCAACTAGGCGCCATAGGCGGCCGACTAATTCACCTAGACGGCAAACCAATTAGTCAGAGCGCCTAGGCGAAAATCGGGGCGCCCGACCACCGCCTAGCGCCTAGGCGGGGACTAGTCGGATGCCTAGAACGATTTTTAGAACAGAGATAAAAACTTAACTTGAGTTATTCAATTAAAAAATAAAAACCTAACTAAAATTTATAATAAAAAACATATTTCGCAATATTTAGTTAGAATATTAAAACTTGATTTGAAATTATAATCAAAAAAAAATTCTTTTCAAATGGACTTCGGTTCGAATTTTTCTCATAAATTATTATTGATTTGAATTCAAATACAATGCTCAAATTTGAGCTAAATTTTAGTGAAATTTGAAATTCAAATATTTTAAATCCAAATGTATATTCATTTATCAGTGCATTACTCTTTTCGTTAGAGATATACTGCGCATAACTTCATTTTGAAATAATAAAAAAAATACCATAAGATACTATGTTTGAGATAATTAAAAATAAAGAGCTAAATAAAATACTAAATGTCATGGAAGGTTTTAGCCCACCGCAATTTAAAATTGGATATTATTCATAAAAGGTAGACTAGATTGAATTCACTTATATTTTATTGAATTTCGTTTTGAGTTATTTAAAAAAATATTGATTACATATTGCAAATTATGTGTTTTTATTATTAAGTGTAAATTAAGTTTTTATTTTCTAATTAACTATTACAAAATATGTTTTTTTATAAATTTTAATTAAGTTTTTATTTTTTAATTGAATTACTTAACTTAAGTTTTTAATTATAAGTTTAAAATTTATATGGTATTTTACATTATTAATATTATTTTAAAAAAAATGAGGTGGACTAGCATGAATTTACTTATAATTTATTTTATTTTATTTTATTTCGTTTTGAGTTATTTCAAAAATGTTTACATATTGCAAATTATGTTTTTTATTATAAGTTTAATTTAATATTTTCTAATTAAATATTGCGAAATATGTTTTTTATTATAAATTTTAATTAGGTTTTTATTTTTTTAATTGAAGTTAAGTTTTTATTATATATTTTTAATTGTTTGGGAAAGAAGTATATATGTTTTAAGTATATGGCAAAACGTTTAAATGCATAAGAGAACTGATGAGTGTAGTGGTTCAATAGCTCTTCCTCCTTGTGCCACACCCAGGTTTGAATCTTGGTGCCAACCTTTTTTTATTCTTTTAGAAACATACTTCAATTCTTAAAGTTGGATGACATGGAATTGCTTGGATGACGTGGATAAACTGATGTGGCGACCTGCGATGGTAATGAGATGACATGGCAAAAAAGACCCTAGTTTGGGAAATAAGTTTGAAAAACACCCCTCCCCGAGAAACAACTCCTGGTTGGTCAGTGCTGCTTGCATTTTTCAAGGTGCTCTCCTTATATAGGACTGCTTTAATTTGCTTTTTTTGTTTTTTTTTAAAATTTTTTTTTTAATTATTTTTTAGTCCAAGGGTCTGGAGGAGGGGCTGTTTGGAAGCCTGGAGTAATCAGAGCTGAAGCTCAGCCCATTGGGTTTCAAACCCTTATGTGCCTAGCGAGATTCGAACTCGAGAACTCCCACTAGGCACGGTAATCTCGCAACCAGCTGGGCTGGAATGCTTGGTTGACTACTTTAATTTGCTTAATTGTGCACTTATATAAATCGTTTGTGGATTCTTTTTAATGTGTAATAGTTCTGATGCTGAATCTGAACTATTTTGAAAATGTCACATCAAATATTTTATATTCACTCTAAGCTACTTAGGATGTTTTCTTTTGGACTGAAATTTGCTGGTCTGGTCTGTTTAAGTCTGGTCTGGTCTGGTCTGGTAAACGTCCGGTCTCTGTGTATTTTATAACTATCCAAGTTTGGTTTGGTCTGGTCTGGTCTGTTTAAGTCTGGTCTGGTCTGGTCTGTTTAAGTCTGGTCTGGTCTGATCTGGTCTGGTCTGGTCTGAGACTGAAAACAGTCCAAAAGAAAACATCCTTAGCTTCTTTTGATTTATAAATGTTCTTAGCTTCTTTTGATTTATGTGTTTTGACGTAGTGACAGGATAGGCTATACTATTTAGAAATTACTTAAAATATGATCAAAATATAAACAAAATGTAAAATAAGATTAAATAATCTGGATGTTTTATTACTTGTAGGACTTATTGGATCTTAGATATTAAAATAAAAGAATAAATTAATTAAAACTTCCCAATGCAAAATAGGAAGGAGTGAGCCTTATTTTGGGAATAAAGTACATAGTAATAATTGTCCTACTTAAGAACTTAACTCATTTTTAGTCATATTTATGGAAGAAACATGCGTGGACGCCATATTGATCCAAATGATTCTTTTTTCTTAGACAAAAATAAAAATTGGTCTTTTTTTTATTTCAAAATAGAACCATATTACTTCTATTTGGAAACATACATATTTTTTCATTTCATTCTTACTTCTCCTTTATGAGTAAAAGGTAGTCAAAAGGCATAATTAAATGTTTTAATTCATAATAAATTGGTAAAAAATAATAAAAATTGTATAAAAATAATAAAAAAAATAATAAAATTATTTTTGTAAACGGACAAGCTTTTAGTCCTATATATGCAAAATTAACTTTTCTTTTTCGTACAGAAGGGATTTTAAACAAACATGATGCCGAGTATATCCAAACCGGCTATTTGTTATTTCCTTGTGATCCATATCTTCATCCTCAGCCAAGGAGTGGTGGCGGACTTGAAGGCCGACAGAGAAGCTCTTCTAGAGTTTGCATCTGCGGTGGGCGACAACAGCTTTGAGGGCTCCATTCCGGCGTCACTGTCGAGGTTTCCTCATTCGTCCTTTGCGGGGAATGCTTTACTAATGAATCAGCCGTGCCGCCCTCGCCGCCTTCTGAAGTCAAAGAAAAAGAAAGACAAAAAGAAAGTTGAGTTGGAAATTGCTGTTGGAAGTATATGTGCTCTAGCTGTCGTTATTTGTGCAATACTACTACTAATTCGGAGTTACCTTCGACATAAAGATGGTAAAGATATCTGCTGGGGCGACTAGGAATGCTGCGGTTTCATGTGTTCCCGGCCTGTAGCTTCACGTCCGTAGGTGGCCGCCGCCGGGATTCCTTCACTAGTAAAAGATGGGCAACAAATTTGTGGGAGAATTGAATTAGAAAATCCAATTAAGCTGATCGAGTCCATCTTTCTTCTTTTTTTTTTTTATTGTATTCAGGTCAATCCTGTTTACCTTTACTCATTTCGTTTAATTTCTCTTACTGTTTAAAGTTTTGTTATTTGTACGAAGAAATATCCATGTTCTATTCCTTGCAAAAAAAAAACATGTTCTATTATGCGACTCCCTGGGTGTTGAATATGTTGTTTTGTTGATGACTAACCATGCTGGTGGAACGGGGGACAGAACTAGTCTATAGTTTACGTGCATTAATTGCTAATCTAACCATGCAGGTTGGGCACTCTATGTTCATAGCATTCCATTGTTCCTTGAAACTGTTCTTTGAAACTACGTAAAAGATTTTGGTTGGCATGATAGCTTGCATGTGACGAAAAAGAAAAAGGGTATTTGATTTTCCTTATGGAAAGATTGCTTAATTGATACATACCTTTTAAATAGGAAAATCGATTTTTTAAATAAAATCATTACATGATTTGAGTGATGTGCTATTAAAGGAAAAGCTACTTTTGTAAAGTTACTCAATTCGAATAAATTCAATTATGCTAAGTATTCGATCAAATTATGCTAAGTATCAAGATGGAAAGTATTTTCAAATTATGCTAAGTATCAAAATGTATTTTCAAATAATCTATAAGGGATTTATAGAAAGCTCCAACGGACCTATCAAGATGCTGCATATATAAATCAAGTGGACTGAAGAGAAAGGCAGTGCTGAACCGAGAAAAATACTTAGAAGAATCATTCAAGAAAAGGATCAAGTCCTTGGCGCCTGAAACTGCCCGCTCGGAGTTCTAGATAGAGTTTTTCTTTTCCCTTTCATATTGTACTTGGAATATTGAGGCTTAATTGGCTAGAGTAGCTGCCTCGGGTTAAGTGTGTGTGAGAGCTTTGTGATAAAGCTGAGAGGCTCTCTACCCGCAAGGTAGAGATGCATAACTCTTCCTAGAGAGGATAGAGTTGGGGAGGCTCAAGGGTAGATTAGGAGAATCACTCTTGTAACTCTTTCAAAGGCTTATTTAGTGAAGTTGTTTAAAATTCCTCCGAGGGAGGTCGAGGTTTTTTAATCCCTTTGAGCCAAGGGATTTTTCCTCGTTAAATTCTTGTGCACTTTACTATTTCGCAATTCCCTTTATCCCACACTAGAACTCGGCGAAAAACTGCCACGGTTCCACACACACACAATTCACCCCCCCTCTTGTGTTGCTAACCGTTTTCATCACTGGGCCCACTGTGAACCTTTCCATTTTCTGTATCTCACAGCTCTCCAATAAATTAATTGTCCTGCATATCTGTTATACTAGCGCGATAACGCGCGTTGCGCGATATCCATGCCCAATACTAAAAAACAAGCCGAAAATGGGGAAAACATGTTAAAATAGCATGAGCAATCAACCGCCTAAAGGTGAAAAGATTGAAATGGGGGATGCCAATCCAAAGTAACAAAAGGAAACGAGAATTTAAGCATACTCCGTAATTTTTAAGGAAATTACTCATATTATATTAGTTTGGAATATACAAATGTCTTTAGTCATATCTAGAGTAATTTCTCATAGTTTTATTATACTCCGTAATTTTTAACTTATGTGAGTATAATTTACGGTCTGTCTTGGAAATAAGACCAAAATAGTATATTGCCCATAGGCTCAAAATAGGACAGGACCGGCCCTGCCAGGATACATCGTGTGTCACCTTTACATTCTGCACCTAACACTTATTTCAGATCTCACCCACCTTCACAACTGCATAAGAAAAACAGCTGGCTCATTTAAACTGTCCAGTGAACTTTCCCAGTTCACTGTGAGTCATCTCCTTGTTATCTATTCTTCAAAGTGATATATCTCCATTGCTCTAAATCCTTCATAAGAAAGACAATTTGATGTTCAATCTCTTGGACAGGGGTCAAACCATTTGATTCTGCAAAGATATCTCTATATTCTTCTGTCAAGGCCCCTAACTCCATCTCAATCTCCCTTGTGTCAGAATTGGCTGCAATAGACAATAGAAAATATGCACCATCTTCGTGTATCTCGCCGATAGTCATCACAGTCAGTTGTCTACTATCGCTTCAAAACATGTTTTTTTTGTTTCCGGTCATTCAGCACCAGCCCCAATTGTTCCAGCCATTGCATTCCCAACACTGCATCGATTCTAATGAGCGGTAATGTGTAACATGTGATTTTAAACTGCGGGTCATAGTTTTGTAGTGCCTCAGATTCCACCCGCCTGCTACACTGCAGGGGCTCACCGTTGGCGATTTAACATTGAATGCGGGCATAGGTGAGAAAAGCAATTGCAAGGATTCTACCAATTTATTTCGGATAAAATTATGGGTAGACCCAGTATCAACCAGTTCAATAATATCTCATCCCTCAACAGATGCCTTAAGCCCGAACGTTTACTATGTCGTCCATCCCATCAACACATGAAGTGAAATCTTTGAAGGGTGCTTTAGCAACTGCCGGTACCATTGAAGGGTCAGCCTCTCCAAATTCAAAGGCCTGAGCCTTAACTTCATATCTGGAGTGACATTGTAATAATCGAAGTATTGTGTCGCTTGGTATAAGCACCGGGCTAGGTCTTCTTTACCAAACTTCGGAAATTGTTCCTTGAGATCATGAAGGCGCGGGCCATTCCATAGATGCTCATCAGCAAAAGAATTGTCCACCTGAAAGTTAGGTTGTTCCCTAGAAAAGTGATTCGCGAATCAGTACGGGATTTGAGTGACAATAATGCTTATGAGTACGGAGTTCTGCGTTTGTTTTCCCGCAGTTATCCATCATGATGTGATACCAATGATGTTTTTACTTAGACTGTAATTTGTTAGTTTGGTCTGTTTAAATCTGGTCTGTTTAAGTCTATTCTGGTCTGGTCTGGTAAACGTCTCGTCTCTGTGTATTTTATAACCACGGAAGTCAAGTCTGATCCGGTCTGGTATGTTTAAATCTGGTCTTGTCTTGTCTGAGACTGTAAACAGTCCAAGTAAAAACATCTCAAATGATAGATCCTTGGGCTAACTACGGCAAACTAACAAGAATGCTTAAGTGAAGAAGAAAGTAATTGGGAAGGAGAAAGCATGATTCTAAAGGCTGAGATTTGCCTTCATATGTGTAACCATAAATACAAGACTAGAAAATAACCGCTGCTAAAATATTAAATATTGGCACTATTTCGTCCATTTTGAATTTCTTTTGCACAATGAAAAAACCTTGTCTTGTTTTAATTGGGGATAAATATAAATTGTTCCACGGTTGATTTGAGACCATATTGATTGATCCATACATTTAGAAAATTAGGTTTGAACTTAATTTTGAATATTCAAATGATTTGTTCTCTAATTTAGTGGATGCATTAAAAAATCAGTTTTTTATACTACGTATTTATTTACATTTGAAGTAGGTTATGTGTTCTAAATTAGAGACAAGAATGCATTATATAGCACATTTATTTAACTAATATTAGGATATGTCGCAAAAAAACTAATATTATCACACACACGTGTGTGTGTATGTCTGTATATGATTTCAGTAAATTTTGTTTTATTTATCTTTAGTACCATATATGCCCCCAAATGCATGTCCGGGTTTCAAAAGAGGGAAAGGAAGTGACGTATTGACAAATTAATACATTTGCTGTTGTTATATTATACTCCATATTATGTAAGAGTTTTTATACTATCCGACGACCGACGGGTTGTACTTAATCAGTTACATTAAGTAGCTGAAAGCTGAAAGTTAGACGTCTTTCAAACTGTTTTTCACTTCTTTTTTTTGAAAGATCGCTTTTTAATTATATATACGTAGTACTACGCACTATGTAAAAATTACTTTTTCAAGGCTCAGAATTTACCGTCCTTGGGCATACGTTCGATTCTCACAAGCCTCAGTTTTTTGTTTTTTGAATGATACATGGTGTATATGTATATGTGTGCTGACTTGGAATAGGGAGGTGGCAGATAAAATGACATGGAAATAGAATTTAGTTTCGGTGGTGACATGGAACGATGACGAAGCAAAAATGATCCTATTTGGGAAATAAGTTTAAAAGTACCCTACTTTGAGAAATAAGATTAGAAAGTATCCATCCCGGGAAATAACTCGAGCATGATGGCATTTGTATAGCAAGTAGACTTTTTCTAATTGTTGGGTTTCATGAAGGGCATTTTGGTCACCTTCTCCCATTTTAACTCTTGTGAAACTTCCTATATTTCCATTTTTAATAATGCATTTTGGTCACTTCAAATACGTGTAACGGTAGATTATATAGGCCGTATCAAATGTTGGAGGGCAATTAGTTACTTACATTTTTTAATTCTCTTATCGTCAAATATGAGTTCATATTTTTGGGGTAATAATTATTACATCGGTTTTCTATAAGAGTTCACTTTTGACGAAGAAAACTTGTCCTTGAAATCCTCTCTAGGCATTCACTTTTTGTAGTTTAAAATCTCGACCGATAGGCTCCCAAACTATTAACTTTGTGTAGTCTTCGGTCACCTCTAGCTGTTTGGTGGTGCTTGCATTTTTTGAGGTGCTATTCGATCATCACTCTACTTTGGTTATGCTTATATAGATTGATGAATACTAAATTTGTGTGTAGCTCAGTTTTTATGTTTCTATCTAGTTCTGAATTGATGGAAATTGGACTAATAATTCGAAAATGTCATACTCCCTCCGCCCCATTTTACATGTCCTACTTTCCTTTTTGGGTTGTCCCAAAATAAGTGTCTCTTTTCCTTTTTTGGAAAGAAATTTGTGGTCTACATCATTTCACTTTATTAAACTCAAATCTCAACCACAACTTTTACTTTTTCAACTATTTCATTAATAACCGTGCCGAGTCAAACTAAGACACATAAAATGGGACAGAAGTAGTACTTTTCTACTTCTCATGTTGTTCTTAGTCAGGGCCGGCCCACAGCAAGTGTGGGCAGTGCTATGGCACAACGCCAAGTTTAAATTTCGAACTTGGTAACACGGAATTGCTAGTACTGCTATTTAGGGCAATTTGTGTATTCTATATTTTCACCAAATCATGAATGATTGTCCTAACTTAACTCGTTAGTTAAGGAGTGTTTGCACTTACTTAAAAAAGCGTTTTTCAGTTTTTGGCTTTAAAAAGGTTGAAAAGAGTGTTTTCAAATGACAGCTTCTGCTTAAATTAATCACTTAAAAGCTGGAAGCAGGTGGAAGAATGCTTTAAACTGCTTTTC